GAACTCAGAATAAGGGTCAGACAATTCATAAACCAGATGTATGAAAAGAATCAACAATTTATGTAAGAATCAAGAGGAAATAAAGAGTGATATAGCTCCAATAAGAAACACGATGGAAACTTTTAACAGTACACTAGGAGAAACGGAGGATCAATTTAGTATATTAGACGACAGGGCAGCGAAACACCCAAATTGAACTGCAATTGGAGAAAAAAATTAAGAGACAGGAGGAGAGCCTGAGGGAGCTTTGAGAAACAGGAAACAAAGCAACATACAAATAATAGGAGTTCCAGAAGGACAAGAAGAGGAACAAGGGTTATAAAACCTATTTGAAGAAATAATGTCAGAAAACTTTCCTAATTTGGGGAATAAAAAAGTCACACAAGCACAAGGAGTTCCAAACAAGATGAACCTAAAAAAACCCATACCAAAACACATCATAATTACCATGGCAAATATTAACAACAAAGAGAGGATCTTAAAGGTTGCAAGAGAGAGACGGAAAGTTATGTACAAGGAATCTCCCATTGGATTATCAAATGATTTCTCAAAAGAAACACATCAGGCAAAAAAGTAATGGAAGAAAGTTCACAAAATTATGCAAAGCAAGGGACTGAACCAAAGAATACTCTATCCAGCAAGGCTATCATTCAAAATTGAAGGGGAAATAAGGCACTTCACAGGAAAAAAAAAAAAAAAAGGCTAAGGGAGTTTGTTTCTACTAAGCCAGCATGCAAGAAATGCTAAAGGAACTGGTGTAAAAAGAAGAAATAAAAAGGGAAGAAAGAATACAGGCACAAAAAATAAAAATGGCAATAAACAAGTACGTATCAATAATAACTTTAAACGTAAACGGACTAAATGCTCCAATCAAAAGACATTGAGTGGCTGAATGGATAAAAAAACATGACCCATATATATGCTGTCTATAAGACCCCCACTTCAGAACAAGGGACTCAAAAGTGAAGGGATGGAAAAATATCGTTCAGCCAAATGGAAATGAGAAAAAAGCTGGGGTAGCCATACTTATATCTGACAAAATAGACATCAAGGTGAAGGCCATAAAAAGAGATAAGGAAGGCCACTTCATAATCCTAAAGGGACCGATACAACAAGAGGATATAACCCTGGTAAACATAAGTGCACCCAATGCAAGAGCACCCAAATACATAAAAGAACTCCTGGAAGATATCAAGGGAGAGATTGACCACAATACAATCATAGTAGGGGACTTTAATACACCACTGACATCACTGGATAAATCCTCTAGACAAACAATCAGCAAAGAAACAGCAATCCTAAATGACTCACTAGATCAGATGGACTTAATTGAAATTTTCAGAACATTTCACCCCAAAGCCACAGAATACATGTTCTTCTCAAGTGCACATGGGACATTTTCAAAGATAGACCACATATTGGGACACAGGAAAAGATTCTCCAAATCCAAGAAGATGGAAACCATATCAAGCATCATCTCAGACCACAATGACATAATATTAGAAATAAACTACAATAAAAACAATAAAAAAATTCAAACACTGGGAAGGTGAATAGCATGCTATTAAACAATGATTGGGTTACCAAAGAGATCAAAGAAGAAATAAAAAATATCCTGGAAACAAATGACAATGAAAACACAACAATCCAAAATTTATGGGACACAGTGAAAGCAGTCCTGAAAGGAAAATTTATAGCTCCCTACAGGCCTACCTCAAAAAAACAAGAAAAACTGGTAACAAATTATCTAACTCTACAACTTAAAATATTAGAAAGAGAGCAAAAAGCAAAGCCCAGAGTGAGCAGAAGGAAAGAGATAATAAATATCAGGGCAGAAATAAATGACATAGAGACAAAAAAAAAAATACAAAAGATCAATGAAACCAAGAGTTGGTTCTTAGAAAGGATATACAAAATTGATGAACCTCTAACCAGGATCACCAAGAAGCAAAGAGAGAGGACCCAAATAAACAAAATCAGAAATGAAAGAGGCAAAATAACAGCAGACCCCACAGAAATACAAAGAACTGTAAAAACACACACACAATATAAACAACTCTATTTGAACAAACTTGACAACCTAGAAGAAATGGACATATTCCTAGAAAAATGAAACCTTCCAAAACTCAATCAGGAAGAATCTAAAAATCTCAATAGGCCAATAACTATAGAGAAAATTGAAGCAGTCAACAAAAAAGCTTCCAGCAAACAAAAGCTCAGGGACAGACGTCTTCACAGGAGAGTATTATCAAACATTCAAAGAAGAACTAAAACCTATCCTCCTCAGACTATTCCAAAAAATTCAAGAGGAAGGAACACTTCCAAGCTCATTCTATGAAGCCAGCATCACCCTAATACCAAAATCAGATAAAGACAACACAATGAAAGAGAATTACAGGCCAATATCCCTCATGAACATAGATGCCAAAATCCTCAACAAAATTCTAGCAAATCGCATCCAGCAGTACATCAGAAAGATCATACACCATGACCAAGTAGAATTTATCCCAGGTTTGCAATGATGGTACAACATCTGCAAATCAATAAACGTGATAATCACATAAACAAATTGAAAGATAAAAATCACATAGTCATATCAATTGATGCATAAAAAGCATTGACAAAATCCAACACTCTTTTTTGATAAAAACCCTCAGCAAAGTGGGAATAAAGGGATCATATCTCAACATAATTAAAGCCATATATGACAAACCTACAGCCAACATCATACTCAATGGGCAAAAACTACAACCATTTCACCTAAGAAAAGGAACAAGATAGGGATGCCAACTTTCACCATTCCTGTTCAACAGAATACTGGAAGTGTTAGCTATAGCAATTAGACAAGATATAGAAATAAAAGGTATCCAAATTGGAAAAGAAGTAGTAAAACTGTCATTATTCTTAGATGACATAATACTGTACATAGAAAACCCCAAAGACTCCATCAAAACACTACTAGGCTTAATAAATGAATTTGGCAATGTAGCAGGATACAAAATTAACACCCAGAAATCTATGGCTTTTTAATACACCAATAATGAACTCAAAGAAAGAGAAATTAAAAAAAAACAATCCCATTTACCATTGTATCAAAAAAATTAAGATACTTAGGAATAAACTTAACTAAAGAGGTAAAAGACCTGTACTCAAAAAACTACAGGACATTGAAAAAAGAGATAGAGGAAAACATAAACCGAGGGGAGAACATACTATGTTCATGGATAGGTAGAATCAACCTCATTAAAATGTCCATACTACCCAAAGCAATCTATAGATTCAATGCACTCCCCTTTAAAATACCAATGGCATATTTCACAGACCTAGAATGAACTCTCCATAAATTCATCTGGTATAAAAAAAAAAAACACCCCAAATAGCTGCAGCAATCTTGAGAAAGAAGAACAAAGTAGGAGGGATCTCAATACCAGATATCAAGCTATATTACAAAGCCACTGTTCTCAAAACTACCTGGTACTGGCACAAGAACAGCCATATAAACCAATGGAATAGGATTAAAAAACCCAGAAATTGACCCAAACAACTATACTCAATTAATATTTGACAAAGGAGGCAAGAGGATACAACTGAGTCAAGACAGTCTCTTCAATAAATGGTTCTGGGAAAATTAGACAGATACATGCAAAAAATGAAACTAGACCACCAACTTACACCATACACAAAAATAAATTCAAAATGGTAAAGGATTTAAACGTAAGATGGGAAACAATAAAAATCTTAGAGGAATCCACAGGCAGAAAATCTCAGACATTTGCCAAAGCAATATCTTCACCAATACAGCTGCTAGGGCAATGGAAACTAAAGAGAAAACAAACAAATAGGACTACATCAAAATAAAAAGCTTCTGCACAGCAGAAGAAACCATAAACAAAGCAACAAGAAAGCCCACTGCATGAGAGAGCATATTTGCCAATGTTATCTCTGATAAGGGTTCAATCTCCAACATTTACAGGGAACTCATACAACTTAATAAAAGGAAGATAAACAATCCAATCAAAAAATGGGCAACAGACCTAAATAGATACTTTTCAAAAGAGGACATACAGAAGGCCAAGAGACATATGAAAACATGCTCAGTCACTAATTATCTGAGAGATGCAAATCAAAGCGACATTGAGGTACCATCTCACACCTGTCAGAATGGCTATCATCAACAAATCAACAAATGACAAGTGCTGGTGAGGATGCAGAGAAAAAGGAACCCTCCTGCACTGCCTGTGGGAATGCAGATTGGTGCAGCCACTGTGGAGAACAGTATGGAGTTTCCCCCAAAAACTAAAAATGGAACTTCCATTTGACTCAGTGATTCCACTTCTAGGAATATATCTCAAGAAACTAGAAACACTAATCAGAAAGGATATATACACCCCTATGTTCATAGCAGCACAATTTACCATAGCTAAGATTTGGAAACAGCCTAAGTGCCCATCAAAAGATGAGTTAATTAGAAAACTGTGGTACATCTATACAATGGAATACTACGCTGCTGTAAAAAGGAAGGAACTCCTACCATTTGCAACAGTGTGGATGGAGCTGTAGAGCATTATGCTAAGCAAAATAAGCCAGTCAGAGAAAGATAACTATCACATGATCTCACTCATTTGTGGAATATAATGAACACCATAAATTGATGAACAAAAATAGATCCATAAACAGAGAAGCATCAGACTGTCAAACCTCAGAGGGATGGCAGGGGAGAATGGGGAGAAGGGGGAGACATCAATCAAAAGGCTTGTATGCATACATATAAGCATAGCCAATGAACACATACACTAGGGGTGTGTTGGCACGAGTCAGGGTGGGGGAGGGGCAATGGGAGTATAAGGACACATATGTAATACCTTAATCAATAAAGAAAAAACCTAGCAGTGGGCAAAAAAAAAATCAATCTGGTTACAAGTGAAAAAATATTATTCTAGCACTTATCCAGGTGTCTTCTATAGATGAGTAGTACATTTATATTTGAACAAAATTTTTACCTCAGCTCCTGAAATGGGTCGGCTCTTATGAGGGGTGTTTCCACTGAATGTTCAAAAAGAGCTCCTTCAGGCCCTAAACAAAAAACAAAGATACATCATCTTACAAAAGTAAAATTAGTGATACATCAAACAATAAATATTTAGACTATATAGAAAAGCACAAGTAGGTTCTGATCTTTGTTGCTGAATTTGTGCAGATGTTTGAACTGCAGGAAAAAAGAATAGGCATGCCCTGGCTGGTTGGCTCAATTGGTTGGAACATTTCCCCATACAAGGAAAGATTTCGAGTTTGATTCCTATCAGGACACACACATAGGTTGTGGTTTTGATCCCCAGTTGGGATACCTATAAGAAACAACAAATCAGTCTCTCTCTCTCTCTCTCTCTCTCTCTCTCTCTCTCTCTCTCTCTCTCCCTCTCTCCCTCTCTCTTCCTCTCTCTTTCTCTCTCTCTCTCTCCCCCTTTCCTTCCTCTCTCTAAAATCAGTAAAAACATATCCTCCTCCAAGACCTTGAACCTTCAGGAGCGAGATGGTGAGTATGTGGAGGCTGAGTGTCCTCTGCAGTGCCCAAGGAGACCAAGCTCTCTTCCTCTGAAACCCAGGGGTCAGACTTGCTCAAATCTCAGCATTTCTCCAGGACCAACCTACCCCAGGATGGTGTGGAATACAGCACATTCACCTGTCACCCAGCTGCCTTCTGGTTCCAAGGCTGTGTCTCTTCACTGGACTGGTGAGAGGGTTGTCAGTGTTTTGCTCCTGGGCCTACTTCCAGCTGTGTTTTTGGATCCTTCCTTTGTGATGGAGTACTCCCTGGCTGTGGTCCTTGCTCTCCATGGTTATGGGGCCTCAGAGAAGTTGTTACTGAGTATGTTCAAAAGGATGCATTGCAAAAAGCTCCCAAGGCAGACCTTTTGATACTCTCGGCTTTCACCTTTGCTGGGCTTTGTTATTTCAACTATCACGATGTGGGCATCAGCAAAGCTGTTGCCATGCTGTGGAAGCTCTGTCCTTCTTGACTTAATACCTCGAAAATTGATTGTACACCTCTTTGCCTCTGCTCTGTCATGCCATTCATCTCACAATAAGGGGAAAATAACAGAGAAGTCCACTAGTGAGATAAACCTCTTCTAATCACCTGGCTAGTTTTAGAATTTAATCTGTGAGGAAAAGGTTCGAGAGGAATTATATCGAAGAAATTGTGAGATTGAGTTCCACATGCTGGCAAATGAATGAGGTTGTCCTCTAGCTTCTCATGAGATTCACAATATAACTGTACATTATATAAGAGCTTTCGCATTTTAATTTACCAAACTCTTAAAGGGAATCCAGCTTTATTACTATCAATACCTAATCAAACATCTATATTTGCCTTGGGAGTTATGGAGAAAGGGAAAAGCTATTAATTCATAAATAAATACTACATCAACTTATCCAGTACTTAATGTTTGAAAACTTCCCACCTTTGTTCAGTTAATACCAGTCACTGATGGTTATATGTTTTTGAGAAACTTTAAAGTTAGGAAACACTGATATTTCACATTACTAATTTCTAAATCCTGGGAAAAAGAGCCTGAAGAACTTCTTCTAAGTATAGAGAAGTTCCATGAAGGGAAGAAGCACCCATGTAGAGGTATCAAAACATTACACATTGTAAACTGAGACTTACTCCTCAAATGTGTTCATTTTACTTGTCCCAAAATAATATCCACAAATATAAAATTAAATAATAAATTATTTTTCCCACTGTGAGAATCTTTAATGTGAAATGTATTCTATGGAAATATAGGTGTTTTTTTTAAATTCTGTAATAAAAAAAAAAACACCAAAAAAATATCCTTCAGTGTGGATTAAAAAATAGGCACAGTTAACTGCTCTCTTGCTTTTCCAAGGATACCACAATTTCAGTAAGTTCTTACAGAAATATGATTGTAAAGCAATTCAAAATATGCAGGCTTATTATTATTATTTTAATCCTCACCCCAGGATGTTTATTGATTTTAGAAAGAAAAGGGAGAGGAAGAGAAAGAGAAACATCTATGTGAGAGAGAAACATTGATCGGTTGCCTCATGTATGCATCCCGACCAGGAATCAAACCCACAACCTGTGGGTTCTGGATTGTGAGAGGGCACAAGCCAGGCTGAGGGACCCCACCAGTGCACAACTTGCAACCCAGGTATGTGCTCTGACCAGGAATCAAACCCACAACCTGTCAGTGTTCAGGAAAATGCTCCAATTAACTAAGCCACCTGGCCAGGGCTGCGGGCTTTTTTTAAATGTAGGAAGCAATATAAGCCCTCAAATTGAAAAAGAATTACAGTTGAAAACTGCTTGTCTCTATCTTTTAGGTAATAGTCATTTGACTCATTTTCTAGATTTTATGTGTAAAAATTGTGTCTTGTGTCATTTGTTTCTTAAAGCACATCAGAAAATTAGAGAAAAATAAACATTTTTAAATATTGAAAATTGACTTTCTAATTTCTAGGAGTCAGTATCTTCCCTATTGTTTCACTAGTCTGAGAATCAAATTATACACAAGACACGATGTCAGTGGAGGTGAAGAGATGCAAAGATGACAGTGACATATTCTTTGATATACCTAATTGGTTTAATATTCAGAACTTTACAGGGCAGGTGAGATTATTTTACTGAGGAGAAAACTGAGGAACAGAAAGGTTAATTAAGTTTCCTAAAGTTACACAGCAAAAGGCAGGTCTGTGATTTGAATTCAAAACCCACATTTTTAATCTATATGCTCTAGGGTTTATCATACATAATTAACAAATACTATATAATAGAAAGTAATGTGCCAATAGGAGTGTGCAACTAAGTTATTTTGGGTGTCATCAGCAGGGGAACATTACTTAAGGCAGCCGGGAAGACTTTCTATAATAAAATGCAGTTAGCCTGAACCTTAAAATAAATAGACATTTGTAACTATATGGAGGTGATGGACAATAATTTTCAAGGAAAGCAGTAGTGCAGGAGCAGGAAAATGTGACCAGTGTATAGAAATGAATGAATAATCCAGTTACTAGAAAAATAAAGAATTCAATATGGAAATACAAATTTTTCTTTCATATTATATTTAAAACTAGAGGCCTGGTGCACAAATTTGTGCACGGGTGGGGTCCCTCTGGGTGGCCTGCAGGGATCGGGCCAAAACCCACAGTCCAACGCCACCTGAAGCTCCTACCTGCTGCTCCTGCTCATCCTGGCCCCACTGTGCCTGCCTCAGGCTTACGCCCAATTAGTCCTGATCAGGAGACTGCCACAATAGTGCTCACCAGTCATGAGCCCTGCGTCTGATGCCCTCCCAAGGGGAGTGGCCTGCAGGATTGGGCTGAAACCGGCTCTCCGACATCCCCTGAGGGGTTCTGGATTGTGAGAGGGCACAAGCCAGGCTGAGGGACCCCACCAGTGCACAATCAGGCCAGGGAGGGACTGCAGGAGGGCTCTAGGGCATGTGTGGCCCATCTCACTCAGTCCCATCAGCCGGACCCCAGCAGCAAGCTAATCTACCGGTCAGAGCATCTTCCCCCTGGTGGTCAGTACACAGTGAGCAGTTGAGCAGCCTTAGCATATCATTAGCATATTATGCTTTGATTGGTTGTTTGGTTGTTCTGCCATTCAGTCTATTTGCATATTACCCTTTTATTATATAGGATATTTCTCTTTAATATTGTGGGCATACACACAGATTTAACTAGCATCACTTTGCCTATACATACTCATCATGATTTACCTAGGTCCCTGTGCCTTTCCTGAAATATACCTCATTCTTTGGTTTTGCCCCTGGCTTAGACCCTACCCCTGTTTTAGGGTCTGCCCCTGGTTTACGTCCCACTCCAGACTTAGGGTCTACAGCTGCAAAAAACTGTTCCTCTCCCTCTTAGTCCCACAAAGAACTCAGCAGATATTTTCACATTGTGCAGAATTTCCTCTTCAGGGAATACTGAAAATAATTAAAATGTTTATTTTTTAATTTAATCATGTACTAGTTTTGATACTTACCATTGAAAACCTGGTGAAAAGTTTCCCAGACACCAAGTTGAGCAAAGGTCTTGTCAGCAGTCTTTCCTGATTTAACAGTTCACAACATCCTCACATTTTCTCCACAACAATACTACCTGTATTAGTTTTGTCATTATAATTACTGCTTCTCTAGTAATTTTGTTTAAATATAAAGACATAACAAATGCATACATTCTCATTCAAGAAATAAAAGTATGTGGCAAATAAGTAAAATATAATTAAATTAGCAAAAAATTAAAATTTTGCTAATAACAAATCAGATTTGGTAACATGACCAACACAAAAACTGTAATCAACTGAAATAAAGGAACACAAAGGCGAAAGTTAACATTGTATGAAAATAATGTTATAATTCATACAAATTATATTCAGATGAGAATATAATACGACACATTCCTTAAAATACCACCTAAATGCCCGGCTGGCATGGCTCAGTGGTTGACTGTCAACCTATGAACCAGGAGGGCATGGTTCAATTCCCAGTCAGGGCACATGCCAGGTTGCAGGTTCAATCCCTGTGTGGGGCATGCAGAAGGCAGCCGATCAATGATTCTCTCATCATTGATGTTTCTATCTCTCTCTCCCTCTCCCTTCCTCTCTGAAATAAAAAGTAAATACCACCTAAGCAAACCTCAATGATAATGGTGACCATTATGTAAAGTAAGACTATTCTAAGCACCCTTTCTAAAACAAGGTAGAAACTACAATGTATTTTGATTGAAATTTTTATTTTTATTTTAACACAGCTTCAATTCTTTTTCCTCTAAGAAGTGTAATTATTCTAATAGTGCCAGTGGGACTATTTACAAGAAAATATAGCTCCATAATTAGATTTAAATGCATGCCAATTACCTTCTAATATGACCAGAGTTAATGATAGAGTGCCCCGTAAAGACAATGTACTGTTAGCAGACAATGTACTGATAATACGAACTTATAGGCATTATCTTCTAATAAGAGGAGCAATTTCTCTATCATTGAAATTGTAATGCCCAAATTATGTGAACTTGATTATATCATAACTCTAGCCTCAAAGTAA